ACACCTGGTAGAGGGGCTCCATGGCTGCAGACCTGCCCCATCTCTAGTCCTCAGGAACGGGGAGAGAGGGCTCCTGAGGGAAAACAGGAGCCTGTCACTCTCCACCCCGCTTCTCCTGCAGTGGGCAAGGGAGAGGGTTGCTGTCATTCTTCTAGGGGGTGAGTGGCATTGTTTATTCTCTCAGAGAGTTCTGGGAAGAGGAGTTTGGAAGTCCTGGTGAAGGAGGCAAATCTACCATATAGGATCCTGTAAAGAACAACTGAGCCACTCCAAACACACGTATCCCCTGGATCCCGGTGTTGATCCTGGCTGAATGTTGCACTGAATAATTTGGTTTTAGTGTCGTCTAGTAGAGTGCTCAGTCAGCTGTCACGTCACTCCATGCCCTGTGAGCTGCACAGCGCCGTGCTCTGCGTGCCGACTCTGACCTCTGCCCTTTGACTCTGGCTAAGGGGCTCTTTGGTGGTGCTGCCTTCTGGTCAGGGATGTGAGTGGATGTCAGATATGTTCTCACTTCCTGCTTGGCCCTGGAAATCAGGAATTGCATCTGGTTAGAGCAAGTGCCTTAGGAGTCCCTAGAGTTCATAGACTTGCCATACCATAACCTTTGAACCCAGTAAAGGTAACTACCTAGTAAATTGTAATAATTTCTCTCTCATTTGTGGACTTTGGGAAGCAGCTAAACAAATGGATACAAGGCAGTCACTGAAACTTGGTCTGCTTCAGATTAAAATCAAGTTTGCACAGGGATAACTGAATCTTTCCAGTGGTGACCAAAGATCAGGCCCAAGATTTCTTTCCGTGTAAATGTCTTAAGCAGAATGGATACCTATGAGGTAGGAAAAGATTGAGAATTTGTTTGCCTGAGAGGTTTGCGTGGTTAGATCCCTTGGGAGTCAAAAACTCCTCAGACTAGACTGCTTCCCCTCTGGACAGAACAACCCAGTTCTCAGTGGTCATTTGACCAGGACTAACCCATGCCTTCATGAACTCTCGCCCATTGAGCACTTAGCCACCTGGCTGGCATTTGTCTTCTCCCAGGAGCTTCCATGACTTTCCTACATGTGTATTATGTCAACTTGAATGAATATTTTATGCCTAGAGTGCAGCCAAGCCTCAGACTGTGTGGCCCATTATCGACAAGCGGGGTGGGGGCTGGGTGCCACCTTTGGCCCCCTGATAGCGTCTCTGCTAAATGGACTCCCCCCAGCAGCACTTTGAAGCCCATTAATGGATTGGGATGAAGTAACCTCAGCAGATGGAAAGGGCAAGGAGGGTGGTCGTCCTTCTTTCCCTGAGATTGCCTGATGAGGCTGTTCTGCAGTAGCCAGGTCCAGACCCAGCTCCCTCTGCTTGGTCAAGCTGTAGACTGTGGCTTCTAGGCCTCTGCTTTGAGAGGAGGCTGTGGAAAGGGTTTGAGTCTCTCTTAGCCGTGGTGGTGCTGCCAGGTTCACCACTTTCCTGTCAAAGCAAAAACTGAGAGGGATGTGGAAAGGGTGGGTGGAGTTTAAACCTGGCCCTTCCTCTTTCAGCGGAAGTTCAGCAAAATGACAAACCAGAGAGGTGGCTGAGTTTCCTTCTCTTGATGAGAGATTCCAGTATTTGTATATTTTGCACTTGAAGCTTGGATTCTCCAGGCTTTCTCTCAGCGTTCATCAAACAGGAGTGAGTCACTGTAGTGTTATCTGTGCATTTTCCCCTTCTGTCTGAGCAAAGGGAAGAGTAAGCCTTTACAAACCTTGTGAGGGAGGAAACCACCCATTGCCCACTTCTGGCCTGAGGAGAGGCCGTCTATCCCCATGTGAACTCTGAAAGTTCTAGCTCTCAGAGCAGTGTCACTACCCCACACAGCCCCTTTGATGCAGGCCATTGAATGTCATTGCTGTCTTGGAGATCTTGAGATGATACGTCAGATTCTGAAACAACACCAAGAGAGGATCTGGCCCCTTGGTTTCCAGTTCTCTCTCAGAGGAGGAGGGAGCCCAGTTCCTTCTATTGCCCACTAGACCTGCTCCTCCTTTTGGGGGTATAAATAGGTCTTTCATCTGAATGTCTGCTTTTGTCTAGAGTGTTTGGAGTTTCTCGGTCCTTGTGGGGAGTTTTTTCCACAGGTGTCTGTCTTTGGGTTGGCACTCGTTTCCCCCCTTTCCATTTATTCCTACATTTCTCATTAGAAAATGGCAAAAAGGGCAAAAACAAATGTATTTCCTCTTGGACAGCAAATGAGTAATTTTAGCCTTATAAAGCCATATAACCACAAGGTTTGGTAGAAGAGAGGGTGAGATGGACACTGATATTGTGGCTAGGTGAATCCTTGGGACAGTGGGGGGATGGGGAAGGGAGAGAGGAGGGATGTGTTCAATGACTGGCTCAGAGCCACCTTTTTCTTTTTAACAGAGGAAGGCGGACCAGACCAGAGGCTTTTCTGTAGAACCAGTCAAGCTGGTTTTGAGCAGCCTCGGCCTATTTTCCCCTGTGCTCTTTGGGAAGTTGGCAATACAAAGGTCTACCTCCGCTGGGGCTCTGCTCATTGAGACAGGAGTTTGAAGGATGTCTGTGAACAACCTCTCCCAGCCAAAACTGAATGGGTCTCTGGGCTGGGCCTCTCTACGGGAGTGGGCCTTCTCTACACCCCGTGCAGCTCAAGGCAGCTGTGTGTTACACACCTTTCACTGGAAGCTGTAAGATACAGCTCTTTTTCTTGGGCCCCCTTCACAATTCACAGCTTGGCAAAAGCCCCTCATCTGTCAGGAGGAAGGCACTGGGTCTGTGGTTGGCTTCTCGTTTGTGGATCTGGAAGGGGCTCGGGACTCCTGGCTGTTGTGGTCTGGCTGCTAGATCCATTGAAACTCCAGACCTTTTGGCTAGGGGCAGCGAGACTGTCCGTCCGGGCTTGCTGGGGAAGAAAAAAGGAGGGAGAATAGTTTTTGGTCTTTGGCAGCTCTGCAGGTACTTCAGCCACTGGGAACAGTTTGAGTTTGTCCCTGATTGGGGTACCTGTAGGAAAGGTGGGAGTTGTCAGTCCCCACGTGCTGGCACTTCCTGAACGGCAGTAGGGACTCTTTCTTTGGAGGGCAGAGCAGGATTCTGAGGCTGCTGCACCATCAGTGCTGCTAATGTAGCAGGATTGTTTTCCCAGTCTCCCACTAAGCAGAAAACTCCCAAGCCTGACAGTTTGGTAATTAATGAGGGAAGCTACCTACAGACAGAACTCCAGCCTGTGCCCTGGTCCTTGGGGGCAGGCTGCCCCTGTTGCTCCTACAATGATCTACTCAGTGCTTCTCCTGAGCACCATTTCACTGAGAGTTTTGTTTTGGTTACTGATATCTTGTATGCAGGGTGGCCCTCTTTTCCTCCACCTTCTTCAGAGCTAAGGGTCTGCTGGCCTTCTCTTACCCCATCACTTCTCCGCCTTCCCTCCACAGATGGTCATCATTCGGCTGTCTTTGCCTATAGTGTTGGAGGCACTTGTAGCTTGTTGCTTTGCTTTTGCCCACAAGAGTTTGAATTGCTGGTTCTCCAGTCACAGGAAGTGGGGCCCCTTAGGCCCTCTTGGTCTAGCAGAGCATTCTGATTGAGTTGAGCTTATGGCAGAGTTGAAAGGAGATCCCAGCACTTTTGGACTTTAAATAAGTGGTTTCCCTGTGGTTCTTTAGAGTCTTGGGTCAGCCCCTGCTGTGACCATGGATTTACTTAATCTGTAGGCCTGTTTGCTCATCTGTAGAAAGGAAGTAATAATAGTACCTGTCTTAACAGGTAGTTGTGAGCATTAAAAGAGTTAATGAGTATAAAGCACATAGAATAGTGCCTGGCAGGATGTAATAATTTTCGTCATCGTTCTGGTTGAGCAACTTGGTAGATTTTCTTCGAGCACCGCACAGCTCCAGGTCAGGGTAAGGGATGTACATTGGAATTTCCCTGTAATCAATGGAAAGAATCTTGGCCTCTTCCAGCCATTGGGTGCCACAGGTGCTTTTTCTAGCATTTCTGTGTTTTTTTTTTTTTTTTAACGATCAGCTACCTGAAAGAAAACAGAATGCTGTTGGAGAGGTTTAAGTACTTTTGAGAGCACTTTAAAACACAAAAAAAGAGAGTTCATTTATTAGCAAGATATCAATATTAGGCAATTTTATTGATTAAAGAAAACACACACACATACACACCACCCTCTGCCTGCCCATCCTTCTGTGTGGTGAATGGTGGTGGTGGTGGATGTGCAGCCTTGCTGATGGCTGCAAGGCCAAATCCACAGTCACCAGGGCGTGGGTTTTTTTGAGCGTTGGGATCAGGGTGTTAGAGGAGCCCCATGGAGAGTTTCTTTCATTGAGTCCCTTTCTTCAGGTGCAGCATTTACCCCAAGAGAAAGCTCCCTGTTTCTCCTAAAGACCTCCTGGGAACTTCACAGCTGATGATTTTAGGTTCCCTTTTCACTAGCAGAGGGGCCTTCAAGGACAGGTTCTTGTTGCCTCTGTTGGCTGCTCTGAAGGGAGAAGAAAGCCTCCCCTTGGTGAGGCCTGTAAGGGTCACCCCCATTTCTCAGCTGCTCCTGTGAGTTTGTAGACTGTGCATCTTGGGCTGAGATTTTGGTCTCAGTTGGTTCCTTGTTTGTCTTCATCTCCTGCCCCTTCTAGAACTTGAAGGCCTTATCAGGACAGCAAGGAAGTTGCTTAGTGTTTTTGCATTACAATTATGGCCAAGGAGAAAGGTAACTGTCACCTCAGAGCTCGTCAGGGAATTTCTTTCACTGTATTTTCCTCCTCCTTTTGACCCCTCTGCTGACTTGTCTCACTTTGTTTTTTTCCGTTTGGTTTCTTTGAACTCTGTTCCTTCATGATGACTGTCCTTCCCGGTTTTCATCTCCGTGTCCCATTCTGCGTTACCTGTTCCTGTGCCTCTTCTGTGGCATGGCTCAGGAGAGGAAATTTGGTAGTCAGGATCTCCTGCGTGTATAGAATCCCACAACCACTCAGTCCTTTCTTTCTCCTATTCCTCTGATTTCTGTAAGGTTAAGGATTCGCTACTTTAGAAAACATTTTCTTTTTATGTCTCGGAGGCCGCCTTCCTCTGTAAAGCCAGGCTTGGCGATGTGACAGCTTATTAGGGGCAGCATCCCAGTTTCCCTGGTGACAGAGTCTAAGTTAGTTCTGGGCTGTTCCTCTGACCTATTGGGAATGCCATAACTCTAGACCCTGTGTTGGGAGAGATCTGAGGAGCCACTTGTTAGTTTTGGATAGTACAATATTGAACTTGGTTCTCAAAGTGTAGTCTGGGGAACTTGGGGGTCCCTAAGACCCTTCCAGTGGTACATGAAGTCAGAATTATTTTCATCGTAACATTAATGCAGCATTTGCGTTTTTCACTCTCATTCTCTCTCAGGATACAGTGGAGTTTTCCAGAGCTGAATGATGTGTGCTGACATCATCACTCTTGGCTGATGAAATGTGTGCTTCTGTGTTCTTGTGTTTTCTAGAATTTTTAAGGTAGTGCTTTAAGGTATAAATGTGAAAGTTTTCAATGATGAACACGATTTGTTCTTAGTACTTCTACTGTGCTCTTATTAGCTTGCTTTAGTTATACCTGCTATAATCTCTGTAAACCTCGTTATTGTCCAATAAATAGTTATTTTGAAATCCTGGCATTTTCCTGGCACCTTCGAGGAAACACAATAAGAAGTAAGTACAACTTGTAACACTTACTTGTAAAAACTTTTGGGAAAACTTCTAATTTTAAAAATTTTGTTTACAACTTATTTTAGCATTTAATTGTTTTATTCTAAAATAGAAGAAAATTTATAATATTTCTCTTATATTTAAGGATGAATTGTTGGCTTAAAAAAGGGAGATTAGAAGACTTGCTTTCTCAACACATAGCTGCAGCCTCTGTTTACTGACATGGACAAGTGAAAGGGAGAAATCTGTTCCAGAGAAACTGGGCAAAACTGTAAATAAGAAATGGAAAAAAATGAAAAGAAATGAAATTATGATGCAAGCTATCTTCTCAGCTTTATAGATGTTAATAATGTATCTTATTGCATCTTACACAACGGAACCTTTTCATGCAGTGTTATAGTGCTGGTTATGCTGCGGCATCATTTCAAGATCAGTCATTCAGAGTTTAAAGAAAAAGGAGTTGAAGATTTTAAGTGTACACACCATGAGCTCTTTAAAAGCAAAAATTTGTTGCAGCTTTTCAACCTAGAAATGGAAAACGTTGCTGAAGCCTCTTACAGGATAAGTTATCACATTGCTTGGCTGGAAAAGCCCACCCAGTAGCAGAGAGACTGATGAAGTCTTGAACGGCTGACATTCCTGAATGCCCACTGGACGAAAAGTCAGTAACATACAGGGCAGTGCCACTTCATACGTTTCCGTGACTCGTCGAATTCAAGATTTAGCTGCACACTGAAGACTGAGTTAATATCTTGTTTACAGAATTTTACTTTCACCTTACAAATGAGCAGATTTATAGATGTGGCTCATCTTGTATCAGCACCAACTATGCTTCAAAGAATATTTTCTTTTATGTGAATGCTCAACAACAAACACAAGTGGTGATAAATATGCAAAGGGTTGAATAACTTTTTTGACTCTTGTGGTTTATCCTGGAACAACTTCATATGCATTTGCCCTGTTGGTGCAGAAGCAATGGCAGAGAAAACTGCTGGTGCCGTAACAAAAATGAGGGCAGTGGCACCAAACTCTGCTAGTGGTCATAGTCGTGGACTTCTTTCCTGCTACACACTTGTGGTTAAAAAAAAAAAAAAAGCCATTTTCACTTAAGAATGTCCTGGATGAAGCACTAAAAGTTATTAATTTTTATTAAACCTCAACCCTTTTATAAAGATCTCTTTAATATTCTGAGTGATGAAATGCAACGTATCCGTGGAGTGTTGCTGCTGTATACCATAGTACAATGACTGTCTTGAGAAAATGCACTTGGGTGTTGGAGCTGAACCAGCTGCGTGGATCATCATTTTTACTTGAAAGAACAACTGATGGACAAACTGTAGTTATTCATACTTGAATATTTTTACTGGATGTTTTCTTGAAATTGAACAAAGTGAGTCTGTCATCATAGCCAGTGATAAAATTCAAGTTTTCAGGCGAAAATTCAAATTTTGGAAAACTTGTATTTCTCAAAGATTTTTTTGATGAGATCGGTGGTAAAATTAATGGAATGTGATTTTTTGATATTGTATAAAATGCCAATATTTGGAAATTCTGCGTAATTCTCTGAAGGAATATTTCCCAGATTGCCAGTGGGCAAAAGAGCCATTCAAACTACAAGATGACCAATGGATTTCAATGTAGAAGTACACAAAAGGTTCATTGATAAAATATCAGATTGCACATTGCAACTAGCCTTTAAAAACTACGACTTGTTGAGTTTTGGTCTAGTATCAAAGAAGAAAATCCTCGGTATCTGAAAGCCTATTAAACTACATTTTCCAACTACAGGCCCATGTGAAATGAGATTTTCTTCATGTCTTTCAACCAAAACAACACACAGAAACACACTGAGTGCAGAAGCGGATATGAGAAGTCGGCTCTCTTCCACTAAGCCAGACATTTAGAGATGTACAAGAATGTACAATGCAATTCTTGTCAGGAATTTCACTTTGTTTTAGAAAATATAGTTTTTTAATAGAAAATAGGTTATTTGTGTCAACATGTAATAGGTTTATTGTTATTTTGAATGAATTAATAAAAATATTTTTTTAATTATCAGTTTCAGTTTCTAATAAGGTAACTATTGATAACTATAATCCATATGAATGAAACATTTGCAGTCTTCAATGATTTTTTAGAGAGTGTAAAGAGTTCTTGAGACCAAAAGGTGAGAAAACCTTTGTTGTAGACAAAACCTGAGTTGATTGTCCCGTCTTGGGTTGGTTGCTTGCAGTGACTTCCTAAGGAGCTCTTGTTTGCAGTTCCCAGCCCCTGTTTAATCCCTGCCTGCGCCTCAGAGACTGACCCACGTTAGCTTATTTCTTTCTTCTAATACGTGTAGCATTAGCCCTGTGAGGTTTGTTGTTTTTGTTCTTTTATCTGTGGTTTGTTTATTCTCCCCCCACCTTTTCTTCTTTTTTCCTTATTTTTTTTTCTTTTTGTCATTTTCCCTTTTTCTTTGTTCTTTCATTTTTAATTTTTCTCATTTTTTTTCTTTTTTTGTTTCTAATTTAGTTTGTAGGTATTCGTTTTTTATTTTTTTGGTCTGGCATTGTGTTTTGATTGCATTATGAGATTAGTTCATCAGGTGGACTTCCTTTGGTTTGTGTGAAGTTGTGGTTTGGAAAAGAGAGTGTTTTCATTAAATAAGTAACATGTCTACATGTAACAGCTTTATTAATGTCCTTTTAAATGAATGGTTACATATTTCAGTCTTATTAATTTCTAATATAGTACTTTTGGGGGTCTCAGTTATTTCTTCTAGTGCAAAGGGTTTCTGAAACCAAAAAGTGTAAGAATCATGGTTGTAGACAAAACTTGGGTTAATTCTCCCTGGCTTGGGTTGGTCAATTTGTTGGTAATTTCATAAAAAACATTTTGCAATTCCCAGCCCCTGTTTAGTCCTGGCTGGGCCACAGGAAGGCACTTGCTGCCTTGGTTTGCTGTCATTCTAGCTGAGGAAGCTGGTTCTCAGTGACCCAAGGGACTTTGACCAAAGTTGGCTTATTTCCTCCTTCAAATACATAACACTGGCCTTGTGAGTTTTTTTTAAACAGTTAAATTTTATTTTTTTAAATTTTGAGATAATTTTAAACTTAGAAGAGTTGCAAAAATAGTCCAAAGAGTTCCTGTACATTCTTTACCCAGCTTCCCCTTATGTTAACATCTTATATAACCGTAGAATATGTATCAAAACTAAGAATTAATCTTGGTGTAATACTATTAACCAAAGTACAGAACTTATGTAGATTTCATCGGTTTTTCCACGGACGTGCTTTTTCTGTCCCAGGATCCAGTTCGGGATCCCCCATTGCATTTAGTTGTCACGTCCCCATAGTCTCCTCAAATCTGTGACCATTTCTTAGTCTTTGCATGTCTTTCCTGATGTTGACAATTTTGAAGAATACTGGTCAGTTATTTTTAGAATATTCCTCAGTTATGGTAGTCTGAAATTTTCTCATGGCCTTGTGCTTTTTTTTTTTTTTTTTTTGTGAGGAAGATCAGCCCTGAGCTAATACCCATGCCAGTCCTCTTTTTTTGCTGAGGAAGACTGGCTCTGGGCTAACATCCGTGCCCAGCTTCCTCCACTTTATATGGGACACTGCCTCAGCATGGCTGGACAAGCAGTGTGTCGGTGCGCGCCTGGGATCCAAACCTGGGCCACCAGCAGTGGAGTGCACACACTTAACCGCTACGCCACGAGGCTGGCCCCTGTCATGGCCTTGTGCTTTAATTTCATTTTTTTATTGTGGTAAAATACACATAACATAAAATTTACCATTTTAATAATTTTTAAGTGCATATTCCAGCAGCAATAAGTACTGTTGTACACAATGTTATATAGCTATCACCACTATTTCTAGATCTTTTTCATCATCCCAAACAATAACTCCCCATCTCCCTCTCCCCCAGCCTCTGGTAACCTCTATTCTACTTTCTTTCTCTTTGAATTTACTTGTTCTAAGTATCTCATATAAGTGGAATCATGCAATATTTGTCCTTTTGTGTCTGGCTCATTTCACTTAACCTAATGTTTTCAAGGTTCATCTATGGGCCGGCCCCATGGCTTAGCGGTTAAGTGCACGCGCTCCGCTACTGGCGGCCCGGGTTCGGATCCTGAGCGCGCACCAACACACCGCTTCTCTGTCCATGCTGAGGCCGTGTCCCACATACAGCAACTAGAGGGATGTGCAGCAATGACATACAACTATCTACTGGGGCTTTGGGGGAAAAAAAATAAATAAATAAAATTATTTAAAAAAAAAGGTTCATCCATGTTGAAGCTTTAATTCCATTTTAAGTTTAACTTGGGTTTTACTATGATGATATGTATTAAGTTGATATGTTGGAAAATATAGTTACTGAGATGTGTAGATGTAATGGGTTTAGTAATGTTATTTTAAATGAATTAATAGATAGTTTAACATCTTCTCAGTTTTAATTATAATACAGTAGCAATAGCCCACATGAGCAAAAACTGTTTGAGGTCCTTAATAATTAAGAGTGTAAAGGGTTTCCAGACGGAGATGTGAGATTCACGTTTGTAGACAAATAGAGGATTGGTCATCCCTTTCCTTAATTGGTTGGTTACTTGCTATGACCTCATAATGAACCTTTGTTTTGCAATTCCCAGAGTCCTGGCTGGGCTGCAGGGAGGCACTTGCTGCCTTGGTTTGCAGACATCCTAGCTGAAGAAGCTGGTTCTCAGTGACCTGAGGGACTTGCACCAAAGTTGGCTTGTTTCCTCCTCCTAATACAAAGCATTGGCTTTTTAAAAATTATTATTATTCCATTAAAAAGATCATTTGGCTTACTTGGATTTCATTATGACACTAGTTTTTTTTTTTTTTAAGCTTGTGTGTTGGCTATTGGTCAATTCCAAATTTGAAAACTGCAAAGCTTACTTAGCCTATCTCCTTGAAGAACCTTGATGCCTACAATAGCTGAAGGCTGGTAGGTTCTAGTCACTCACTAAGGCCAGAACAGCCACCAGTCTGTTCTCTGGGTGGCTCTAGAGCCCACACACTTTGTTCCTGTTTCTCTCTACTTAGCTCTTCGTTAGCCCTGTTTCTTAATGAAACATGTCTGTGAAATCCCACACTTAGGTAGGTACGCTTTATTTTCTCCTGTAAGAGGATTCGCTTTAGCCCCACATGCTGTGTTTGTAACAGTGTGTGAACTTTATCTTTAGGAGACAGATGAAATTGCAGTAGATACACAGTTTCTGAATGACCTGATAATTTCAACCTTATCTTTTGCTTGTACTCATCCTCCTGTTTCTGTAGCACCTCTGAATT